TGTACAGTACACTGTACTCTGTACAGACGAGCAACACGCCATGTCCTCACACGAGTTGCAAAGTGCATTGCTACTGACGGTGGAATTTTCGAAAATGTATTATACTAGGTAAACTGTACCATCTTTATCACTTGAACAATAAATACCGGTGTTAGAAACAGTACGTAATCTATCTTTCTCGTCAACAATTTTGGAACCGTAGAGTGAAATAGCTCTATCTCGGAAACCGTTCGAAGTAGGACACATGTACACACGTACGTATACTTCTTGCTTAGAATGGCCGATATTGTGATCTCCTAGAATACCGACTTCTACTCCTGGAATATTCTGTATAGCGTTGAATATTTGGAGTACAGCAAACAGTGAATTCTGAATGCCTTGCAAGAAATCTATCGTGGCCCAATTTGTTCTACTGTCACAGTGTGGGTTGCCGGACAGACAGCCACGTAAATACCTGATGAATGTCGGCGACGTTCCGGCCGCATCGGGCTGGCTTGCGTGAGCGACGGCGTTTCTCCGTGTTTGGTAGCAGGGTGATTGCGAGCCGGCCGTAGAGCTGCAAGGGCTGCAAACGCTGGCGGAGGGTTTTCAAGGGTCGAGGCGAGCGTTTCAGAGTCGGTTGGCGGCGTTACTGCTCTGAGAATCGCTATTGCCGGGAGCGCTCCAGATGCTGTGGCGAAGTGAGAGTAGTTCCGACTGGATCACTAGCGCGATGTGGTCCGCATCTTTATCCGCTGTTGTTAGCGGTGCCCGGCCCAATGGGTGTTAGCGGTGCCGTGGTCCACGCTGATTTGATAGTGATTGTCTCGCTCTGCTGGTCGACAGTATGTTTGTAGTTAGCCTGGAGATGCGTTGTGATACGCTCTCACAATGGAATTCTCCTGGAGATATTGAAGGAAACCATGAAAAATCTATAAGGATAGCCAGAGTTCCAGCTGAGATTTAAATGGAGTACCTCCCGAACACCGGACAGCCATTTTGTTAACAGAGTCAGAAGAGAAACGAGTACAATGATTTGGGCATGTAAAAACAACGGATAGAACAAGGATACTCAGATCAGCATTCGAATTAAAATTCAAAGGAAAGAGACCTTTGGGACGACCCAGAACGTGATGGTTCGGCCCGGAGCTAGGAGACATAAACAAGAGAGCAAAGAGTGGTAAGAAATGAAAAACGAAAGACTGCGGAAATAAAGAATGTATTGGACAGTACTATCTTCTGCGATTTGACGACATGCAGACCGGTAGAAGTTCCCCGACGTTTCGGAGGACATAATACCTCCATTTTCAGAGTCTAATATATGGAACGTATGTAACAAGCGAGGTACAACCTTGTTATTTGCTCCATCTTCAGGATCGAAGGTATCCTAAACAAACAACTAGCAGAAAGGACACTTCCTGTTTGATTTTGTTTTCGTTGCTTAGTAGATTTTCGATCCTGAAGATGGATATAATATGAGCCTCCGAAAGTGGCTGTATGCTTAGCATACCTTCGACCCTGAAGACAAGAGCAGAACGTTCCACTTGAACGTCAGAAAACTTCTGCCGAAGTGTCACATCCCAGAAGAAATTGCTCTTGTGTGTGAGAAATTCAAAAGCCAAAGAGTTATTGAGGAAGATGAAAACGATGCTGAAGCAGTAGTGTTAAAGGAAGATGTCGAATGTGTTCATCTCTAGGACGTCACATTTTCCCTCTGAGCGACCCCTCGGCGTAGACTGTACAAAATGATATGCAATGACGCGTTGATTCTGGACAGCAAGTCGAGAAGTTACTGTACACTGTGTGGAAGAAAGCGAGAGAACATGAATATTCCAACTTTCTCGAATATTCTACCGCTGTTCGGCGACCGGTCTACACAGCAAGGAACTTCCGAGTTCGGTCAAGTTCAATGTTGTTCACACCCTTGCGAAGGAAGGTGAAACTTCATGTTCACTCGTATATTTTGTCTGTACAGACTCAAGACTGGTACTGAAATTTCTACCGGAACACATGACCATGATATCAGTAAGTACGAGGAGAAACGAAACACAATTTCGAGTATAGAAGGAGAAGAAAGAATGCGAACGGCAGATGTTTTCAATATTTCCCGCTCACATTCAGCACGAAGTTCCTCTGCAGGCGAAACGGGCCAAACGCGAACGAACCGTTCGTTTCCCTCGGTTGACACTGTACGCAAGAACTGAATTAGGGCTTTCGTTTTCGATTGCATTGCGTATACCCGCCTCATGAAAAATATTATCTTCTGGCGCCGTCTATTCCGGCTGAAGATTAAAAAGCAGAACTCTGCGTGCTGCTTGCTTCTCGCACGTTGCTTATTTCGTCTTCAACCTCTAAGATGAAGGCACACGTTCCTCTGAAACTTCGGCAAACATTGAGGATTTTGTAAGATTTGAGGTTTTTACGGTGGTGCCTATGAAGAGAGCAATCTTCTGGGATGTGGCGCCGTGTAGATATTGTGTTAACCGACGTTTCGGAGGAACGTATCGCCTCCATCTTCAGGGTAGAAGAAAAAGAAGAAAATACACAAGCGAAGAACCGGTGTGATCAGGTGCAAATAGACTAATGTCGAGAATAAACCCAACTGAATAGAGCAGGAAGGGATGAGGGAGGGGGGGGCTAACACAATACCTACACGGCGCCACATCCCAGAAGACTGCTCTCTTCATTGAGAATTTTATTTCACTGAGTTAGGCATAATGGCAGAACAACATTAAAATGGATGTTAAAGAGAAAAGTTGTGGACTGGATTCATCTCGATTAGGATAAGGCCGAGTGACGGACTTGGCTTACTCTTCGGCACTGAATATGAGTCGATATACGTATTCCTTCGAAACATCGGATCTCTCAGAGGATTAAGCGGTTTGTGCTGAGCTCTTGACCAAGCTGACAGAGCAGACTTCCGGTAATTGAAGAGAGACTGGGTGCAGTCAGTTGCTCGCACTAAGGGCGACGACACGCTAAGCGGTTGTGCCGACTCGGACGCAGCCTTGTGACAAGACAAACGAGGGTGCACGCCGACTCGACGGCCGCGTCAGATACTGCTGAGAATGTATTCAATATATGGAGCAAGTCTTCAAACCTCTCGCTGCACCGACTGCAGACAACAGGCCGAGTCGGCGAACACCGCCTTGTATGTTTTATCCCATCTGATGCAGTAGAACTACGCGCGGAGTCGGCGAAAAGCTCTCCGTGTGTCATCGCCCTAAGATTTATCTAATCTCGCATACTGAGAGGGACGGAACTGCTGCTGTGTATAATCACATTCTACTGCACGAACCGTGCTCTCACGCCCTTGCTACGTACGCCAGTGGACAGTCACAAGTAGCGCGCACTTCTACATTGTGGGACACGGTGGGACAGATCCATATAGTCTCGCAAAGTAAGTACAATTTGTTATCAATGTTTTGTTCTTCAGGCCCTATTTTTAGTCTTTAAAGTCAATTCTTGTTAATATTCAGTTCGACAAGTCAGGAAATGTACGCACAGTGTAATAGTTCCGCCGCTTTTTTTTTTAGTTTATTTAATTATGTCGTAAACCGTAAACGTTACGGAAGTAGTGTAAGGTAAAGCTACCAGTGTAACAAGCCGTGGAGGCCCACAGGGTTGTAAGACGTGGAGGTTCCCACATTTTCTAGACAATCGGCTCACGGATGGCGGTGAGTTTGTCAGCTTTACGCGCCGTCCACCCTTTACCCCAAGGAACATTCCTGGTACTCATTTCTGTTAGCGGCTGGATCGAACCCAGGACCATAGTGCGAATGGAAGGATTAGGTCAATTGAAAAATCCAGTGACCTTATCGGGACTCGAACCGGCGTCCTTCCGCCTTGTAGCATAGTGCCTCAATCAACTACGCTACCGGGTGTCCCCTGCGAAGAAGTTTACAGACGTTTCGTAAGAACGTAACCGCCACCATATTCAAGATGAAAGAGTAAACAAAACAGATAACCGGCAAGATATAAAGAGCTCTCAGAGAAATTTTGCCGACGTCCTATCCTGAGCCAGACGAATCCAGTCCACATTCTTACACCCCGTTTCTTTAGGATCCGTCTTAACATGACGCTCCTTTTCCTGGAAGCCGAAGATTAAGTACCGTTTTCACAAAAGTTCACCAATTCTGTATCAGATTAATACAGTCTACAGCCTCAAACTCATTTTATTTAAGGTTCGTTTCAATCTCATGCTTTCATCTACGTCTACACCCCCAAAAGTGAGCTCTTTCATTCATGATTTTCTACTTAAGTTTTGAATGTATTTAACATCCTCACCTGGTCATAAAATTTTCCGTCGGCCAGGTGCGACTATTGCGCTAATAATCGTATTATCGATAGGAATGTTATCAATTTATTTTATTCATTTATAGATTTCTTAACGACGTAGTCAGTAACGCACGCTCTACATTGTAGAATGGTATGCTTAATAGTGAATAATTAATTGGAAGGTATCCTAAAGAAAACCGCCATTCCAAAATTCGAGACATTACCCCGACATAAGTTAGAGAAAGAAGCCACCAGTGTTCTCAGTAAGGATATCAGGTCACCGGGCGAAGATATGACCACGGGAGCTCCCAAATACGAACCAGAAACTCTATCTCTGCCTCGTATTATGATTCTGAGCTATATAGAGCGACTTTAAAAATCATAAATAAATAATATTCTTACATGTATAGAAGTGAAATTTAGTGCATCTTAAAGGAAGGAGTTGCATTGTGGATAAGGTAAAGAAAAAGTAAATTTCTCTGTACTTAATTAAGCACTGCGTGATTAAAATATCCATGACGGAGATTTAGTCTCTTCTCTGTCCGATCTTAAATTCGTCACTAGACGAAGACGAGTGGTCCGATTCACGCTCCGTCTGCATTGTTCTCCATGAAGTAAACCCATGGAGATAGAGTGTGCCCCAGAAAAGTTCTGGATACTATACAGAAAGGAAAAATCAATACCCAGAACCCCAGTCGTCCATCCCCAAGACTAGTCACTACATCTACTGAGCTATCCGATCTCCACTTGAGTTAAGTGTTAAATTTCCCAAGTCCAAGTCCGCCGGTTACGGTAGCCGAGCGGTCTAAGGCATATACTGTCTTCGCTCGCTTGGAAACCGGGATCGTGGGTTCAAATCCCACTCAGGGCATGGATGTTTAGTTTGTGTGTGTTTTTTTCTGTGTTTGTGTACAGGTAGAGGCCTTGCGACGAACTGATCACCCGCCCAAGGAGTCCTACCGAATGTGTAAGCTCATGAAAAACCGAAGTGAACGAAGAAGTTCATGGAGGTAGGCCTAGGCCCAGTGGGGCTGTAGTGCCAGGGGGAAAAAAGTCTAAGTCCAAGTCCAATACTAATTACCACGTCTTCTTGGCCGTGTGAAGACGTGATCACCCGCACTCATCTGCCATTCAATAACTTGCTGCACAGGCGCATTCACTGTTTCTGCGTCTTGAGTGCGACGCAGTAAACCAGCGTCAGTTGGCGTTCGTTGAAAATCCCCCCTCTACCTACCGTGAAGAACATCAATACACGTTGCGCGGGGCTGAATTATGAAGTTAGCAAGGTATCGCGTGAGAAACAAAGGAAGCGTATTCTGAAATGCTCTGATTCTAGTGTGATGTAGTAGTGACTGATGTCTGCCACAGATATGTTATCCTGCGAATTGTACGTTAATGTAGACTAGCAATCCTCTCTGCACTTGCGGAAATGGTAGTCAAATATCTGTTGATTTGGAAAAGAAGTGACTCTGTGAAGATGTTAGAAAAGTGGACAGGTTCTGGAGTTTCCGTACTGACGGTGGGCTGATGATAATCATAAGGAATTGTAGAAAGAGGTGACTTGTGCATTGTGACGCAGCATCCGTCAATACTGGATGGGATCAACGAGGCAGAACATGTAAGTCACAGTAAGTCATAGTATTTAACGACGTTTTCAGTAGTTCCATCTTATTGCGTCGAAAGACCGGATAGTTAGTGAATAACACATTAGAAGTCATAGCAGGTATTACACACATACTATTGCTCAGTATTATCCAGAAATTTGCATGGAGGGTCTGAATAAAATATAGCCAGTCCCTGGGCCTGGATTTGAACTCAAGACATCCCTGTTCGAAGCATGATTGCCACCCATACAATCCTGACATCCGGCGATATTTGTTTGTAGCGTACTGGTTCTTGTAAATATGAAATCGATGTAGTTAACCCAGTCGCAGAAGGGGAACTTCTTGCATTTTAATAAATCTGGGATAATTGTACGAAACGTTGAAATGTATGTCACACGTGGACAGGCTAAGTTTCAGTTTTGGTAAGAGCATATTGTCAAGCATCTGAGTGTGACTACAGATGAGGTTTGGATTGGTAACTGCAGTTGTCGGACAATTAGAGAACGTAACTACAAATAACTAAGATAGTGTCACTGAGTTACGCACTCCGAACACCAGTGTAACTACAGCATTCTCAGTCTTTATTAGCCGTTACTTAGTAGCGACTTCAATGGCCGATGTTCCGCTTCCTCTGGGTTCACGACCTGTTCACGACCTCAGCTCCCAGCTTCTCACTTCTCACTAACTCTCAGCCGACTCAACAACTGAACTACTAGTCCTCGGTATATATACTCGGTACCGATTGTACAGAAAACGTCTCTTCCGTTATTGCGTGTTCTCTTTTTGCCGGGGAAACAACGTGTTCACAAAGCTGTTACCCGGCAAAGGCTGTTATACTGTTACCTGTTTACACAGCTGTTACTTGGCAGTGGGTCTACATGTCACAATATAATTTAAGGCAAATTTTCTCAAATTTTGCGACATCGTGACTCCCTAAAACAATAAAAAGTTTATGAAATTCCCCTACTCTCCCCATCTCTACCGTAAAAGATCATTCTGCACATTGTTGCAGGTCCCTACCAGGCTGTACAGTGACAGCAGGAATCCAAATAGCTTCACAACCCTCCACCTGGAGTAAGCTATAAAATTTTCATGTAGAATCACGAAAGCCTCGTAATTCACGAAACATTCCGCCCTCTGCAGTTAAATTTTCCGAATGCTCTTATGTTAAATCATACTGTCTTGCCAAATCTACGCTTGGACACAACTGCACTTCAAACGAATCTGGAAAACTCGGCAACTCCCTTTGTAGTGGGTCGATACACCATGATCTGAGACGTTAGGAGAAGTAACATCAGATAATATACGGTGGTCCAAGAAATTCTATTAGTTAACATGTAGTCAGTATTCAGTCGGTTCCAAAAATTACAAGACCTAACCAGTGTAACCGTACGTCCCTCGCCAAAATTATTTAATTAAGGGTATGAACAACTTATGCATTGTTTAACACCATGAGAGACGCTCCTCCGGCGAGACGCCATCCTGGGACCGTCTAGTTGTAATTCAGCTATTGTCCTCCTTAGGCTTAGGGTGTCACTGTTGTCCCTAACGTCGCCTGTTTGCTCCTAGTATCATAAACCCATGAACTGACCTTGTGCGAGACCGGCCAGGCGGGCTCTTGGGTTCCCTGCTCGTGTGCCTTGGAAGACCTAAAAAAAGTTGATGGGCATCTCGAAAAATACGAATGTAGGACAGATGCAGGGCTCGACCCTTGGCTTTCTCTCTTTATTTTCTTGTTTTTTCTGCCCACTGGGGTACTTGTAAAGGGAGCGCAGTTGTTTACAGGGAGCGGAGGTGGACAGTTGAAAAGGGAGTTACAGGAGGGTAGCTGGGGAGTGGCGTGTATGGTCAGTGAGCTCGGGGCAAATGGGCGTACAAAGGTTAAGTGTGATGGAGCGGCAGGCTTGGAGGAATAAAATAAAGATCTATTCCTGTGTGAAATTTTAAATTAGGACTTCAATACACGGTGTGTGCTGAAGATCCCAGAATCATTCACCCCGAAGTGTGTTCCACTCCCATCTCCGAAGCACCCGTATCCTGTGATTAAGAACTCAAGCTCGAGCAACAGTCGTGGCAGCTGTACGTCGGCGGACGGCTACACCAGTAATATCAGGTACAACGCTGCAAGAAAATCATCTGAACAGATTGTGGTTATGCAGTGTTTACCAGATTACTACCATGTGGCTTCTGTACAGTGGAAAGCCAGGAACATGCTCAGTTTGCTATTTATAACGAGGAAACCGACAGGCGTTTTACTCCCCTGTACCGTTCTAGACGTCCCACATAAGCCACTGGTTAAGCCGTTAACACTGAAAGTCTACTAATAACATCTGTGCTTTGATTAAGGGGGCATGCGATAACAATTTGTTGATACACTATGCTACAAGCCGGAAGGTGGCGGGTTCGAGTCCCGATGAGGTGGATATTTTTTTCAATTTATCCAATCCCTCCAGCTGTTCTATGTCCCTGGAGTCGACTCAGCGTCTAACAGAAATAAAATCAGGAATCTTCCTTGGGGGTAAAAGGCGGCCGGCGCTTAAGGTTGACAAACTTACCGCCATCTGTGAGCCGATTGTGTGGAGAAAGTGTTGGAGCCTCGACGTCTCGCAACCCTATGGAAGTTGCTGAAAATAGGTTCTAGTATCTTTCTAATGATGATGTCAGGGTCTGTATCACTCTCGCTCTTATATGCACTTAATTCAGTGGTAATATTTCCTTGATCAACGTGCATAAAAATTAAATGAGACACACGGACGCATCCACAGACGCCTCCAGAGTGTTTTGCCAGCTTGGATTTGGGGGAGGGTCAGAAAATTGGCTTACAGGCTTCGATTTAAACCGTTTAAGACTACTTTGCAGACAAGGGGTATTATTAGTTATATTAACTAAGAATTTGAACTGTAATTTCAATTTTATATGTTTTAATTTTAATTTGTTACTTGTTAAATATTATTTTATGTCAAGTTATAACTATTTTAAATAACAAACGTGTCAATAGACCAGTATAGACACAATATGAATTCATATTGAATAAATGACGCAACTCAGAAACTGATGCCAAATATTCTTGTACGCCTGAGGATGACCCAGATAACGGTCGAAACATGTAGCGAAGTCATTAACAGCAAAATAAAGCAGATGTTGACACTATAGTATCCATCTTGTTTATTTTCTGAAATTATTCTAGTGTAGACTGCCTCAAATCCTATCCTTTTAGTGAACTATACAGACAAGGATGCAATACCATGAAGATCGTCGAAATTGTTGAGGGCAGATACAATGATTTTAAAAATAGTTTTGACTTTCGGTCCTGATGGTTGGTATACTTCCTAATTTTTAAGCGTATCTTTTAAAAAACCCTGAGGGAGAGAGAGCGGAAGCCTTGCTTTCCTTCCACTCTCCCCCCGTATGATATTTTCCACTGCATTATAAAGTGTTGTTAAACAGTTGACTGGTAATCTCAAGGAAGCGAAACAGTCAAAGGATGTCGTTATGACGTACGGATATGCGTTTTAACTAATTTCTTCGCTTAGTGGGGAGTTGAGCCCAACTGGGTCCACTTGGCACGGCGGCCACTGATTGGCCTATTGTAGCCTGCCCCGGGTAAATGTGATGATGGAGAATTTGGTGGAATGAAGATTGACAGGGTAAACCGAAGTACTCGGAGAAAACCCGACCCAGCGCCACTTTGTCCACCACAAATCCCACTTGACCACACTCGGGATCGAACCCGGGCGGCCGCGGTGGGAAGCCAGCGGCTAACCGCACGAGCTATGGCGCGGCCGGTGCGTTTTAACTAAGTCAGAGATAACAGTATTTTAATCAAGAGGTGCCTATTTGAATGACGTATTTGTGAAAAACGTACGTTATAACCGGACGCTGCAACTCTCGGCATTATTCCAGATATTCTAAAAGTTCTAGATACAATAAACAAATACATTTGTGCCATTAATATCAATAGAAACACAAAATTCTCCCCGGAATTTATTTTTTGACTTCCTCTTTTGTCAAATGTCAAGAATTCATCGAATTCTACCCAGTTTTATATACGTTACCTTTTTTTTGGGGGGGGGGGGAA